AGTAGCTGGGACTATGGGTGGGTGCTACCACACCTGGCTAATTTTGTTATTTTTGTAGAGATGGGGTTTTGCCACGTTGGCCAGGCTGGTCTTGAACTCCAGGCCTCAGGTGACCCACCTGCCTTGGCCTCCTAAAGTGCTGGGATTACAGGCATGGGCCACCGCACCTGGTGTAAATTTTCATATTCATCAAAATTAGACCGTATTGCTCACTGATTAAACTTAAATAATTGTTATAAATTTGAACTTGTAAAATTTATAGTAAATGTCTTATTGCTGTTTATATATTGGGGGTTTGCATAAGATTTTATTTGAAAAGTCATCTTATTTCTTCACTGTTTGAACACGACTGTGTTAAGCTCATCTCTCTGAAGGTCTGTAGCCTTGGAGGTTAAGTGTGCTTATTTTCCTGCAGATTTCATGAGCACTGGAGGTTTGTGTTGCAGCGCTTGGTCTTCTTGGCAGCATTTGTTGTATATTTGGAAACAGAAACACTAGTGACTCGGGAAGCGGTTACAGAAATTCTTGGCAGTAAGTATCTTCATTAGTGGGATCTGCAGAATCAGGCATGGTTGCTTTGTTTTTGGTGGAAAGGGTGATCGTAGTTTATTTATTAAAACAAGTGAGAACTAACTAAAAACCACTTACAGTTGTAGCTTGTTATCTGAGGATGACTGGATCCACGACTCTCCCAATACCAAAATCTGAGGACGTTCAAGTCCCTTATATAAAATGGTGTAGTATTTGCATATAACCTATACACATCCTCCCACATACTTTAAATCATCTCTAATTACTTAAAATGTCTAATACAGTATGAGTGCTGTATAAATAGTTGTTATACTGTATTAATTTTAAAAATTTGTAGTTTGAATTGTTGTATTATTATTTTAATTTATTTTTCCCAAGTATTTTCAATCCGCAGTTGGTCAGCACCGAGGGCCAACTGTACTTGGAAACACAAAAGCTAAAAATAATAGTGGCAACTCATTTGCACTTGCTTCTTTCAGTTTTCAAAATAGGATTTTTAAAAATTTCAAGCCTACAGAAAAATGGAAAGAATAGTACAATGAATACCTGTTCACACGCCACTTAGATTTGCCACTTGTTAACATTTTGCCACATCTGCTTAATCTTCTCATTTTGTGTCTTTGTCAGCCATTTGGAAGGTAGTTGCAAATATCATAACTCCTTTCTTAAATGCTTTATCATGCACTTTCTAACAAGTATATTCTCTGACACAACTAAACACCATTTTGATAATACTGCTTTTTGAGGAAAGACTGAATTGAATTTTGCTTATGAGCTCAAAAAATCCACAGTGCGGTCTAGTTGCCGAGGCTGTGAGTATATTAAAAATTCAGTTTTTAAAAGATTCACACTTTCTTCACTTAATTTGGGAGAAATTATGTGTGTATTTTTATATTCTGAGGCTTAAATTGCATTCACAGCTTGGGTTTATTTTCATGTGTTTTTTAGTTGAGCCAGATCGGGAGAAAGGATTTCATCTGGATGTAGAAGATTGTCTCTCAGGAGTTCTAATTCTTGCCAGTGAACTGGTAAGCTCAGTAATTTGCTGGTTGCTTTTTTGATCTTTCTGCTTCACTGTAAGTTTTTAAAATGGGTACCAAAATTCAGGAAGTCTTAAATCTTTTCTAAGCCATCTCTCCGTCACCGGTTAGTCATTGACTGGCACTGTATGTGTTACAGTTTACTAGGCATCAGAGCAAAGCCAGATCAAATGAGGAGCGCATACTTACTCAGTTATGAAATTTTTTTTATTTTTTGAGGCAGAGTTTTGCTCTTGTTGCACAGGCTGGAGTGCAATGGTACAATCTCAGCTCACCACAAGCTCTGCCGCCCAGGCTCAAGCGATTCTCCTGCCTCAGCCTCCTGAGTGTCTGGTATTACAGGCATGTGCCACCAAGCCCGGCTAAGTTTTGTTTTTAGTAGAGACGGGGTTTCTGCAGGTTGGTCAGGTGGTCTGGAACTCCGAACCTCAGGTGATTCGCCCGACTTAGCCTCCCAAAGTGCTGGGATTACAGGC